CAGGTTACCTACAAAGGAACCCCCATAAGGCTCTCAGCTGACTTCTCACAAGAAACATTACAGGCTCGAAGGGAATGGCATGAAGTAATCAAGGTCATGAAAAACAAGGATCTGAATCCAAGACTACTCTACCCAGCAAGGCTATCGTTCAAAATAGAAGGTCAAATAAAGAGCTTCCCAGACAAAATAAGGCTAAGGGAGTACATTAGCACCAAACCAGCACTGCAAGAAATGTTAAAAGGACTGCTGTAATTACCAGGAGAAATGGGAATAAAAATAGAACCACACTAAACAAAAATGGCAATAAATAAGTACATATCAATAACCACCTTAAATGTAAATGGACTGAATGCTCCCATAAAAAGACACAGAGTAGCTGATTGGATAAGAAAGCAAGACTCATCTATATGCTGTTTACAAGAAACCCACCTCACAACAAAAGACTCACACAGATTGAAAGTGAAGGGATGGAAAAAAATCTTTCAAGCAAATGGAAAAGAAAAAAAAGCTGGGGTAGCAATACTGATATCTGATAAAATAGACTTCAGATTGAAGGCCATAACTAGAGACAAAGAAGCCCACTACATAATATTGAAAGGATCTATCCAACAGGAAGATATAACATTGATAAACATATATGCACCCAATATAGGAGCACCAAAATATATTAAAAATCTTCTGGAGGACTTCAAAGGAGAAATCGATAGCAATACAATCATAACAGGGGACTTCAACACCCCGCTCACATCACTGGATAGATCCTCTAGACAAAAAATTAGCAAGGAAACAGAGACTCTAAATGAAGCACTAGACCAAATGGATTTAATAGATATCTACAGAGAACTACACCCCAAAACTACAGAATTCACATTCTTCTCAAGTGCACATGGAACATTCTCAAAGATAGACCACATGTTAGGGCACAAACTAAGTCTCTACAAGTTCAAGAAGATTGAAATTATAACAAGCATCTTCTCAGACCACAATGGTATGAAACTAGAAATCAATTGCAAGAAGAACATACAAAGACATTTTAACACATGGAAGCTAAATAGAATGTTATTAAACAATGAATGGGTCACCGAGCAAATCAAGGAAGAAATCAAAAACTTCCTGGAAACCAATGAAAATGAGGACACAACAATACAAAATCTATGGGATGCAGCAAAAGCAGTTCTGAGAGGGAAGTTTATAGCACTACAGGCCTACCTCAAAAAAGAAGAAAAATCTCTAATAGACTACCTAACCTCACAACTTAAAGAACTAGAGAGTAAACAAAAAGAAAACCCCAGAGCAAGCAGAAGAAAAGAAATAGTAAGGATCAGAGCAGAAATAAACGACATAGAGACCAAAAAAACAATCCAGAGGATCAATAAAACAAAGAGCTGGTTTTTTGAAAAGATAAACAAGATTGATGGACCCTTAGCTAGACTCACCAAGAAACAAAGAGAGAGAACCCAAATACATAAAATCAGAAATGAAACAGGAGAGATAACAACTGACCCTACAGAAATACAAAAGATCGTTAACAACTACTATGAAAAATTATACGGCAACAAATTCGAAAATCTAAGCGAAATGGACAAATTTTTAGAAACACATAGCCTCCCAAAATTGGATCAGATAGAGATTGAAAACTTGAACAGACCAATAACAACAGAGGAAATTGAAGATGTAATCAAGACTCTTCCAGCAAACAAAAGCCCAGGCCCAGATGGCTTCACAGGGGAGTTTTACCGAACATTCAAAGAAGAACTAATACCCATTCTCCTCAAACTATTTCAAAAAATTCAAGAAGAAGGAAGACTGCCAAACTCGTTTTATGAAGCCAGCATAACTCTAATTCCAAAACCAGAAAAAGACACAACAAAGAAAGAAAACTACAGGCCAATATCCCTGATGAACATAGATGCCAAAATCCTGAACAAAATACTAGCAAATCGAATCCAGCAATACACCAGAAAAATTATCCACCATGACCAGGTGGGATTCATCCCAGGGATGCAAGGCTGGTACAATATTCGCAAATCCATAAATGTGATACACCACATAAATAAAATGAAGAATAAAAACCACATGATCATATCAATAGATGCTGAAAAAGCCTTTGACAAAATCCAGCATCCATTTCTGATAAAAACGCTCACCAGTGTGGGAATTGAGGGATCATACCTAGACATAATAAAGGCCATATATGAAAGACCTACAGCCAACATCATACTCAATGGGCAAAAACTAAAAGCATTTCCCTTAAGAACAGGAACAAGGCAAGGATGCCCACTTTCGCCACTCCTATTTAACATAGTACTGGAAGTCTTAGCCACAGCAATCAGACAGGAAGAAAAAATAAAAGGGATCCAAATTGGAAAGGAGGAAGTGAAAGTGTCATTATTTGCAGATGACATGATACTGTACATAGAAAATCCCAAAGACTCCACCAAAAGCTTACTAGACTTAATAAATGAATTTGGCAAAGTAGCAGGATACAAAATTAACGTCAAGAAATCGATGGCATTCTTATACACCAATGATGAACTCACAGAAAGAGAAACTCGGCAAACAATCCCATTTACCATTGCGGCAAAAAAATTAAGATACCTAGGAATAAACTTAACCAAAGAGATAAAGGACCTATTCGCAGAAAACTACAGATCTTTGAAAAATGAAATAGAACAAGATGTAAAAAAGTGGAAGAACATACCCTGTTCATGCATTGGGAGAATTAACATCATTAAAATGTCCATATTACCCAAAGCAATCTATAGATTCAACGCAATCCCCATCAAAATACCAACGGCATACTTCAAAGAATTAGAACAATTACTTCAAAAGTTCATATGGAACCAAAAAAGGCCTCGAATAGCCACAGCAATCTTGAAAAGGAAGAACAAAGTTGGAGGGATCACAATACCAGATTTCAGGTTATACTACAAAGCCACCATAATCAAAACAGCCTGGTACTGGCACAAGAACAGGTATATAGACCAGTGGAACAGAATAGAGAACCCAGAAATGGACCCTAGGCAATATGCTCAATTAATATTTGACAAAGGTGGCAAGAGCATACAGTGGAGTAAGGACAGCCTCTTTAATAAATGGTGCTGGGAAAATTGGACAGCTACTTGCCGAAAAATGAAACTAGACCATCAACTTACACCCTACACCAAAATAAACTCAAAATGGATAAAAGACCTAAATGTAACCCATGAATCCATAAAAATCCTAGAGGAGACTGTGGGCAACAAAATCTCAGACATCATACGCAGCAGAATTTTTACTGACACATCACCTAAGGCAATAGAAACAAAGGAGAAAATGAACACATGGGACTACATCAAACTCAAAAGCTTCTGCACAGCGAAAGATACAATCATCAAAACGGAAAGGCTACCCACTGTATGGGAGAGCATAATTGCCAATGATATATCAGATAAGGGGTTAATTTCCAATACATATAGAGTGCTCACACAACTCCACAAAAGGAAGACAAAGAATCCAATTAAAAAATGGGCAGAGGAACTAAATAGACACCTCTCCAAACAGGACATACAAATGGCTAAGAGACATATGAAGAAATGTTCATCATCACTAATCATCAGAGAGATGCAAATCAAAACAACAATGAGGTATCACCTCACACCGGTCAGAATGGCCGCCATCAACAAATCATCAAACAACAAGTGTTGGCGAGGGTGTGGAGAAAAGGGGACTCTAGTACACTGTTGGTGGGAATGCAGACTGGTGCAGCCACTATGGAAAACAATATGGTGTCACCTCAAAAAATTAAAAATTGAACTCCCATTTGACCCAGTGATCCCACTTCTAGGAATATACCCTAAGAAGCCTGAAACACCAATCAGAAAGAATATATGTACCCCCATCTTTGTAGCAGCACTATTTACAATCGCTAAGATCTGGAAACAGCCCAAGTGCCCATCAGTAGACGAATGGATTAAAAAGCTGTGGTACATATACACAATGGAGTACTACGCAGCGGTAAGAAAGAAAGATCTCTTGTCCTTTGAGACTACATGGAGGGACCTGGAAAGTATCATCCTGAGTGAAACAAGCCAAGCAGAGAAAGACAAATTTCATATGATCTCACTGATTTCTGGAATATAATGAACATAACAGTTTGAGGACAATCCCCTAAGGAGTGGGGAGCTGAGAGAGGGATGAACAACAGAATTTATATGCATATAGGCATGAACAGTGGACATGGACAACAATCGGGGGAAGGGGCGGGGAGGGAAGGGGGAGGGGGGAACCACTGGGGGAAAAAAGGAGAATCATTTGTAACAAAAATTAATCAATAAAAAAAAAAAAAAAAAAACTTAAACATACGCCACCCATATGACACAGGCACTCAACTACTAGGTATTGTTCAAGAGAAAGGAAGCCATATGTTCCCACAGAAGAGGGGGAGGTGGGGGTGGGAAGAGATAAACCACAGAACTTATGCGCATGTATGCATAATCAATAGACATGGACAACAAAGCTGGGGACGGGGTGGGGGGGATGGGGAGGAGGGTGCCAATGGGGTAAAAAAGGAGAAACATCTGTAACAAAAATAAAATTAAAAAAAAAAGACTTCTAAAAAAAAAAAAAAAAAAGATATGGGTAGCTGAATAGATAAGAAAACATGACCCATATATACACTGTCTACAAAAGACCCACCTTGGAAGAGAAAACTCACACAGAATAAAAGTGAAAAGATGGGAAAAAATTTCCATGCAAATGGAAATGAAAAAAAGGCAGGAGTAGCAATACTCATATCTGACAAAATAAATGTCAAAACAATGGCCACAACAACAGACAAAGAATGTCACTACATAATACTAATAACATTGATCCAACAAGAGGCTATAACCCTTGTAAACATATATGCACCAAATATAGCAGCACCAAAATATATTTAAAATCCTGGAGGATTTTAAGGGAGAGTTTGACAGCAACATAGTCATAATAGGGGAATTTAGCACCCACTGACATCACTGGATAACTTTCCCAGGCAAAAAATCATCTATAAAATTGCAACTTTAAATGACACAGTAAATAAAATGGATTTAATTGATATCTATGGAACAGTTCATCCCAAAGCTGCAGAATATACATTCTTCTCAAGGGTACAAGAAACATTCTCAAAAATAGACCACAAAACAGATCTTTACAATTTCAAGAAATTGAAATCATATCAAGCATGTTATTGGATCACAGTGGCATGAAACTGGAAATCAAATACAACAAAAAACTCAAAAACATACAGCCACATGGAGACCAGAGAGATCAAGGAACAAATAAAAAATGTCCTAGAACCAAATTTAAATGAACACACAACAAACAAAAGTCTGTGGGACACAGCAAAAACAGTCCTGAGAGGGAAGTTCATAGCATTACAGGCCTACCTCAGAAAACAAGAAAAAACTAACCCTACAACAAAAAGAATTAGAAAGAGAACAACAACAACAACAACAACAACAAAAAGCCCAGAGTAAGTAGATGGAAGAAATTAATGAAGATCAGAACAGAAATAAATGATATAGAAACTGAAAAAAAAAATACAAATGATCAATAAAACAAAGAGTCTGTTCTTTGAAAAGATAAAAAAAGATTGATGAACCTTTAGCCAGACTCATCAAAAAACAGAGAGGACCCAAATAAACAAATTCGGAAATGAAAGAAGCAACGTAACAACTTACACCACAGAAATACCAAGGATTATAAAAACAATACAATGAACAACTATATGCCAGCCAAATGGACACATTGTATAAAATAGACAAATTCCTGGAACCATACAATCTTCTAAATCTCAATGATAAAGAGTCAGAGAACCTGAACATGCCAATAAAAACTAATAAAATGGAAGCAGTACTCAAAAACCTTCCAGGAAACAAGTCCTGAACTGGATGGCTTCACAACCAAGTTTTACCAAACATTCAAAGAAGAACTAACACCTATCCTCCTCCAATTGTTGCAAAAATTTCAAAGGAGGCAAAACTCCCAAACTCTTTTAATGAGGCTGGCATAATCCTATTTCTAAAATGAGATTAAGATGCTAAAAGAAAGAAAATTACAAGCAATATACGTGATGAACATAGATGTTAAAGTCCTCAATAAAATATTAGCAAATCAGATCCAGCAATACATTAAAAAGACCACACATCATTAAAAGTAGGGTTTATTCCTGGGATGTAAGGCAGATACAATATTTGCAAATCAATAAATGTGATACATCATATAAACAAAGTGTAGGATAAAAATCATGTGATCATATCAATAGACAGACAAAAACATTCAACAATATCTAGCACTCATTTTTTATTAAAGTTCTCAGTCAAGTGGGAATTGAGAGATCATACCTCAATATCATAAAGGTCATATATGATAAACCTCCAAGCTGCATCATATTCAATGGGCAAAACTAAAAGCATTTTCCTTAAGAACAGAAACAAGACAGTGATGTCCACTTTCACCACTCTTATTCAAGATAGTACTGAAAATCCTAGCAACAGCAATCAGACAAGAAGAAGAAATAAAATACATCTAAATTGGAAAGGAGAAACTAAAAGTGCCATTATTCCCAGATGACATGATATTGTACACAGAAAATCTAAAGACTCGGGTTACAAAATTAACATCCAGAAATAAGTACCATTTTTATACACAAATAATGAACTTTCAGAAATAAAACCTAAAAAAATAATTCCACTTACCATTGTAACAAAAACAAATAAGATACATTTAACCAAGGAGGTAAAAGACCTGTACTCAGAAAAATATAGGACTTAGAAAAAAGAATAGTGGAAAATATTAACAAGTGGAAGCATATACATGTTCATGAACTGGAAGAATTAATATCATTAAAACGTCCATACTACCCAAAGCAATCTTAGATTCAAAGCAATCCCTATTGAAATACTATCAGCTTGCTCTGGCCAGTTTAGTTCAGTGGTTAGAGTGTCGGCTCACAGACCAGATTCGTGGGTTTGAGTCTCAGTCTAGGGCATGTACCTGGGTTGTAGGTTCGATTCCAGGCTCTGGTCAGGGTTTTGCAGAAAGCAACCAATTATTTGTCTCTCACATTGATATCTCTCTCTCTCTCTCTCTCTCTCTCTCTCTCACCCCTTCCCTCCCTCCCTCAGACTCTATCTAAAAGAAAGATCAATGAAAAAATATTCTTGGGTGAGGATTAAATAAATAGAAAAAAAGAAGAAAGAAAGAAAGATTTTTATTATTTTAAAAAATGCCATCAGCTTATTTCAAAAATCTAGAAAAAAAAACATTCCAAAAATTTATATGGAAGCAAAAAAGACCCCAAACAGCTGCAGGCATCTTGAGAAAGAAGAACAAAGTTGGATGGATCACAATAATGGATATCAAATTATACTACAAAGCCATTGTAATCAAAACAGTCCAGTATTGACACAAGACAGGTGTATAAATCAGTAGAACAGAACAGGGACCCCAGAAACTGACCTAAGCCATTATGGTCAATTTATTTTTGACAAAGGGGCAAGAATATATATTGGAGTAAAGACAGTCTCTTCAATATATGGTGTTGGAAAAATTGGACAGATCTGTGTAAAAAATGAAACAAGACCACCAACTTATACTACACATAAAAAATAACCTCAAAATAATAAAAAAACTTAAATGTAAGTCACAAAATCATAAAAGTCCTAAAATAAATCATAAACAGTAAAATCTCAGACATCTCACATAGCAGAATTTTCACTGATACATCACCTAGGACAAGAGAAACAAAGAAAAAAATAAACAAATGAGACTGCATCTAACTGAAAAGCTTCTGCACAATAAAATACTCAATCAACAAATTAAAAAAGGACCCCACAGTGTGGGAGAGTACATTTGCTAATGATGCATCTGATAAGGGGTTAATTTCTAAAACATATGAAGTACTTATACAACTCAACAAAAGGAAGACAAAAATCCAATTAGGAAATGGGCAGAGGACCTAAATAGGCACTTCTCCAAAGAGGACATACAGAAGGTCAAGAGATATGAAAAAATGCTCCATTCGTCTACTGATGGGCACTTGGGCTGTTTCCAGATCTTAGCGATTGTAAATAGTGCTGCTACAAAGATGGGGGTACATATATTCTTTCTGATTGGTGTTTTATGCTTCTTAGGGTATATAACCCAGTGATCCCACTTCTAGGAAAATACCCTAAGAAGCATAAAACACCAATAAGAAAGAATATATGTACCCCCATCTTTGTAGCAGCACTATTTACAATCGCTAAGATCTGGAAACAGCCCAAGTGCCCATCAGTAGACGAATGGATCAAAAACCTGTGGTACATATACACAATGGAGTACTATGCAGCGGTAAGAAAGAAAGATCTCTTATCCTTTGAGACTACATGGAGGGACCTGGAAAGTATCATCCTAAGTGAAACAAGCCAAACAGAGAAAGACAAATTTCATATGATCTCACTGATTTGTGGAATATAATGAACATAACAGTTTGAGGAATGGGGTAGTCCCAGAGACGCGGAAGTGGGGTACAGACTGACAATCCCCTAAGGAGTGGGGAGGTGGGGGAGGGATGAACCACAGAACTTATGCATGTATGCATGAACAGTGGACATGGACAACAATCTGGGGAAGGGGCAGGGAAGGAAGGGGGAGGGGGGAATCAGTGGGGGAAAAAAGGAGAATCATCAGTAACAAAAATTAATCAATAAAAAAAGAAAGAAAAAATGCTCAACATCACTAATCATCAGAGATGAAAATTAAAATGACTATGAGGTATCAACTCACACCTGCCAGAATGGCTGCCATCAACAAATCATCAAATTAGTGCTGGTGAGGGTGTGGAGAAAAGGGGACTCTAGTACACTGCTGCTTTGGAACCAGACTGGTGTAGCCACTGTGGAAAACAATATGGTGTTTCCTCAAAAACTTAAAAATGGAACTGCTATTTGACTCAGTGATCCTACTTCTGGGAATATATCCTAAGACCCCTGAAACACCAATCACAAAGAATATATGTAGCCCTATGTTCATAGCAGTGCTATTTTCAATAGCTCAGATCTGGAAACAACCCAAGTGTCCATCAGCAGATGAGTGGATAAAAAAGCTGTGGTACACTTACACAATGGAATACTATGCAGCTCTAAAAAATAAAGATCTCTTACCCTTTGGGACAGCATGGGGGGACTTGGAGAATATTATGCTAAATGAAATAAGCCATGCAGAGAAAGACAAGTACAGTGATACCTCGGTTCTCGAACGCCTTGACTTTCGACCAAATCGGTATTCGACCAGGAGATTCGAGAAACTTTTGTCTTGGAATCCGAACAAATATTTGGAACTCGAACTTCCGAGATGAGCCGAGTTGAGCCGAATGGCGTTCATTCGGCCCAGCGCGCCTTGCTTGCGTCATCAGTGTGAGTGCAGAGAGAGAGTCACGCTTTGTGGAGAGAGTCACGCTTTACACTGAATTTAACCCTTAGACATACTGTACACTTTTATTTCTTGTTGAGACTTATGTTTTTCTACATATTATATACAAATTAGGCCAGTAAATAGGCATTTTCTGGGGCTTGGAACGAATTAATCCAGTTTCCATTATTTCCTATTGGGTTTCATTGCTTCGGTTCTCGAACAATTTGGTTCTCGACCGTCCTCCTGGAACGAATTATGTTCGAGAACCGAGGTATCACTGTATCACATAATCTTACTTATTTGTGGAATATAATTTTTAAAAAATCTGATAAAAAAAATAAATCCAAAGACATGGAAGCAGGGAACAGACTGAAAAACCTCAGAAGTAAGGGAGGTGGGTGTTGGGAGGGGAGAGGAAAAGGTAAACCAAAGAACTTATATGCATATGTGCACAACCAATGGACACAGACAATAGTGCAGTGAAGCTGGGGTGGGGGGAGTGTAGGAGTGGCAAGGAGGGTGGCAATTGGGGAAAAACAAGGGACATCTCTAATATTTGCAACAATAAATATAAATTAAAAAACAAATAAACAAACATAAAAAGGGATCTAAGAATATTCAATATAGAAAGGATTCTTTTTTCAATAAATGGTGCTAGCAAAATTGGATATTCACGTGAAAACAAATAAAAT